ACGACTCATCTCGGTTCGGTTCGGAAGAGATCTCACTTGTGTTTGTCTGTGTGCAACTGCAACTCAAGCAAGTTTCCTTCCTGCACTGTGACCATTGGCAGTGTAAGTAAAGCTTTCTTTGTAAAACCAATACGCTTCCGTGCCTAACTCTACTCCGTCGTGGAAAAACCCCACCTGATGGTCCGGGCTACTGGCCATAGCCTTAGACCGCCCTCGGTCCCGACACCACTCAGCTGTCTCTGCGCTCCCACGCACTTGCTTACTGCCACTCTCCCATACCACTTGCTGCCACCATTTCCCTGATTTCCTGCCTGCTGCCCCTGCTTCTCCCCACCCACCTGCCAGGTGGCCACTCCAGCACCACGTAGTTCCCAGCTGCATTGCCAGACTACAGAACTTGGCAGGAGTCCCTGCAATTCTCTGCTGGCTCTGTGTGGTACCAGCCGTGCCAGGCCAGCTCCTGCTACGTCCTGTGGTCTCGGCCATGCAGCTAGGACATTGTGCCAGAGTGGTGGGTGGGGGGAGGGGGCTGGGGACAGGGAAGCAGCAGGAGAAGGGCAGCAGTGGCAGACACGGGGGCAGGGAGGGAAGTGGCAGTGAGCAGGAGCACGGGGCCTGCGCTGGTGCCCCTGGGCCAGAAGCAGCAGGAGAGAGAGAGAGACTGCTATACACGCACATCCTACACTCCCATGCACACCCTACACTTCCTTGCACGCCCCAGCCACCTTCCCCCTCCACATATACCACAACCCTCCCCAGCCACCCTTCCCTCACAGACTCGCAGGTCCCCACAAACCCCATACACACCCACACCCCAGATATCCACACACACCCACATGCTCCCCCACTCCACATACACATCCACACACCCCGAACTCCATACACACCCACATCCCCCACACCTGTCTATTCCCCCACAAACACATCCACACCCTCCCCCATACCTCATAGACCCATGTACCCACAGCCCCCCACAAACCTATACCCCCCACACATTCCCCCCACAATATACAAGAGTAAGACTTCATTTTAAGCTATTATACAATCACCTCTATGTACACTACACAAAAGGATAAATCAGGATAATTTTTTTTTAAATCAAATTAATGCTATAGTAGATGTTTGATTTTTAGAATATAATTTGGTATTTTTCTGGTTCTGAGATGGCAAACCCCCTTGCTAAAAGGAGTACTTCCAGGAGAAAGGGGAGGTACTTTTGGTGTCAAAGGTCAGTGCCTAGGGGGCGTGACTTCTGGTCCCAAGATGGTGACCAGGAGGTGGGGCACCTGTGTAGGGGCAATGCCACCGTGGCAGCCCTCGACAGCTCAAGAAAACTCTTTAAGCAGCCCTCCAGCTAAAATAATTGCCCACCCCTGTCTTAAATGCATGGTTACCATTTTCTTTTCTAGTCAAATTGAAAACATGTTTTGAGATTTCAATAATTCCTCTTAGGAGATGTCAGTAGGATCATAGATTTCACTTAGCAGTTTTCCTGATGCTCAGTCATACTTGCATTCATTCAGTTCATTGACCTTGCTACATTCAGCAGAAAATATTACTTCATTTTAAAAACAAAGGGCCACTTAAAAAAAAAAATTAACTGAATTTAAACTGTCTGTAATTGAAGCTTTGTTCAGTGTCTTACTGAATTCACATCCGTATATTACTGCATTAAGCAAATATATAGATCTAATTGCTGAGTTTCATTTGTTAGCAACTTAGTGGCAGTTTTGCTAATCTTCCCTTTAAAGATTTAGCTTTTAGTGAGAAATATGTAAGTGAATTCCAGAAACCACCTTAAGAATATATTTTATCTTGTTTTGCATAATTGTGGTATATTGTGTAATCACCTAACAAGTTACACTTTTTTTTTTCCTGATTCCTAACTTAGGCATTTACACTATTTGCTACACATTTTCTGGAACTGTGTCAAATAGATGCTTTATATCCCAATGTGGAAAACAACCATTTTGAGGTGCAACATGTGAGAAGCAGTACTGGAAATAAAGAAAAAATTGCTTATACTTACATACTTTCAAAGGGACACACGGAAGAAAAAAACTATGGTAATGCATTACATTATTGATTTAACTTATGAAACATTACTTTAGATATAATGTTAAACTATCAGGAAGTCTAGCATTCTTCTCTCCACTGATAGATCTCAAAATGATTCGTATACAGGAACACTCATAGCTTTAAAATACTGTTTCAGTTGGTGTAATAACATAACTATTGTTTAATAAAAAGATTTTTTTTCACTCAAGTTTTATCTGGAGTTTCTAGCTGTTTGAGAACATAGTGATTTGCTACTTGAGTGAGATGAACCACTGTGGGTACATAGTAGTTGTACTGAGTGGTCTGAACTACTTTCCTGTTTCCTTATGGGAGTAATTGAAGGTGCTGGTGATGATCTTTAAAATCTAAATGGACAGGTATCTGGTTACAAGAGCAGACTTCCCTGTGTTTGCTCATAAATTGTGATTTTTTATAATTAACTAATATCTGTGTTCATCTTGAAGAAGTAGAGTTTAAACAAAAATGTCAGTGTAATGGCCATATATGTATATTATTATGTCTATTATTTACTAGGGCTGTGCAAAGCTTCGGATCATGATTTGGAGATGATTCAGAGGCAGAAGCTATGAATCTGAATCGAATCTCTGGAAGCTTCAGGCTTTCCGAATTGCTTCGGAAAAGATTCGGAGGCAATTTGGCCATAGAGTATAATGGGGAGTCAATGAAATATCTATAACGTTGTTGTTTTTTGTCTGATTTAGGGTGAGACTTGCAGGAGTGGCAGCCTCTGCTGAGACCATAAACCCTACCAAGTTTCAAGAAGCTCGGTGCAGGGATTCAGAGGGAACTGCACCCCAAACTCTTGAAAGCAAAATTCATGTCTGTGTGCTACACCACAGGGGAGTGAAAACTGCAGGGGTGGTGGCCTTTGTTGAGTCCACAAAGCCTGCCAAGTTTCAAGAAGATTGGTACAGGGGTTTGGGGGGAACTGCACCTGAAGCTGCTGACAGGCAAAACTTGTGACATAGATAACCCTGTGTGTGGTAAGGCACAGCAGGGTGAAAACTGCAGGAGTAGTAGCCCCTGCTCAGGCCACAAAGCCTGCCAGTTGTTGAGGAGATAGGTACAGGGGGGTTCTGGGGCCCTGCACCCCTAGCTGCTGACAGGCAAAACTCGTGACATGGGTGCTTGTGCGACTGACTGTCTCTGTCTTGGGGCAGTTGATTGTCTGTATTGATTATTTCCTCTCCTTTGTCTGTGGTTTTGTGGGTGTTAATTGTTGCTAATTAACTGGCTACATTAGCTAGCTACTATGTATTGAGCTGGTCCCTGAGTAAACCATGATTGATTGGTAACTGGTGCCCCTTCCTCCTCAACACTGGGTAGGCTTGGTGGCCACAGCAGGGTCTACCATCCCTGCAGCTTTCACCCTGCTGCGCCTTAACACACACAGGGTCATCTATGTCACGAGTTTTGCCTGTCAGTAGCTTGAGGTTCAGTCCCCCCCAAGCCCCTGCACCTATCTTCTTGAAATTTGGCAGGCTTTGTGGCCTCACCAGGGGCTACCACCCCTGCAGTTTTCACCCCACTGTAGTGTAACACTTAGACATGACATGAGTTTTGCTTTCAAGAATTTGAGGTGCAGTTCCCCCTGAACCCCTGCACCAATCTACTTGAAAGTTGGTAGGTTTCATACTACCAAAACCAACAAAGTTATTGATTTCAGTGATTCCCCATTATACCCTATGGCTGGATCTCCGAGGTAGCTCCGAAGCTTCGGAGCCACTTTGACTGAATCAAAGTGGAAACCCGGTCTGGAGCTCCGGATCGGATGGCTGGCATACAAAGCATCTGGATCTGAAGCCAGATTGAATAGCTGCTGACTTGCACAGGCCTATTATTTACTAACCAACTGCTGGTCAAGAATGATGGGTGGGGGGCGGAAACGAAGCTTCCAGGAAGCACTGGGGATGAGCAGCACTGCCCGCCCCCGTCCACTCTGTTGCCACCGCCTGCAGGGGGGCGTGGTCAGCAGCTCTGGCCATGTCCTCTTCCCTCCATCCACTCCATCTTCGCGGCCTGCAGGGAGCAGGAGGGAGCATGGCCAGAGCCACTCCATGGCCACCACTCCATCCCCTCTGTCCCCGCCTTCATGGCACCGGAGCACCGCCACCTCTTGTCCAGAATGCTCTTGGAGCACTCTGATTGGTTGTTTCAGGCAGACTAAGGCTTTTATATATATAGAATGTTAAGAGGTGCTTTTTATCCTTTGAAATTTTAAAGTAGTGTCCTTCAGAAAGCGGGTTCAATTATCCTTTAAATTAGATAAAAAATATATTGAACCAAAACTGCATCAGAATTAAAACATTTTATTTATATCTCATTGTCATCCATTCATATCTTTAGAAAACCACAATCCTTTGAGGAGCGACACAAATCCACATAATTTTGAGTGCTAGATTTTGTAGCAGCTTCCTGCTTTAGCTGACATTTAATCAATAGGGTATTGTCTGATTTTTGCAAGCCTGACTGCACTGAAGACTGAGTAATATTCCATTTTAGGTTGGAATTAATTTGAGATGAATGTTTTTTCTACATCTGGCTGAATTTCACTGTTAATTCTTCTCACCTTTGGAAATACAAGGTCAATTTCAAAGATTTGACAAGACAAATGAAGAAGAGTAGTGTATCTAAGCAGTCATCTCTCTTGTAGAAATATCTAGTTTTGTAACTGTTGCTATCTCTCTTTACAGATCATAAATAAAGTTATATTTTAAAGATATGTGTAATGTGAATCTAAAGGCAGCATATGATTCTACATGTTTAGACTTTTTTTTTTAGTCATAGTAGCTACTGTGACACTAGTGCTTATGTCTTTATTGAGATTGATTATCTTGATGTTCTGCTGGCAAAGTTCTTTGGAAAGATGTGATATCTGAAAGGGACCGGGGGGATAGGAGGGATAATTGACCCAAGGATGGATATGAGCCATCAGTATGATGAAATTGCCAGTATGTCAAATAGAACTCTGGTGTGCATCAGCCAGTGCGTTGCCAGTAGAATCAGAGAGGTGCTCCTCCCCCTGTATTTGGCATTGGTAAGGCCACAGCTGGAGTACTGTGTCCAATTCTGAGCACGGCACTTCAAGAAGGATGTGGATAAGCTCAAAAGGCCATCCGTATGATCAGGGGCCTGGAGGATAGGCCCTATGAGGAGAGACTCCGGGAACTGGGTTTGTTCAGTCTGAGTAAGAGAAGAGAGGGGGGTGGGATGTGTGAAAGAATGCAAATGGTAAGCTTCAGGCAGGTACCCGCTGAATCAGATGTCATAATTTCATAGGTTTCGTAGTTGTTAGGGTCAGAAGGGACCTCAGTAGATCATCAAGTCCTACCTCCTGCCCTGGGCAGGAAAGAGCACTGTAACCCCAGCCAGGTGCTTGTCCAGTCTCCTCTTAAAGATCCCCAAGGTAGGGGAGAGCACCACCTCCCTTGAGAGCCCATTCCAGATTCTGGCAACGCTTACTGTAAAGAAGTTCTTCCTGACATCCAACCTAAATCTGCTCTCTGTCAGTTTGTTGCCATTATTCCTGGTTATTCCAAGGCATGCCCTGGTAAACAGAGCATCTCCTATTTCTTGCTGCCCCCCTCCCCACCCATGAATTTGTAAACAGCCACAAGATCCCCTCTCAACCTTCTCTTGCAGAAGCTGAAGAGATCCATGTCCCTCAGTCTCTCCTCATAGGGACTTACCTGGAGGCCCCTAACCATGCGAGTGGCCCTCCTCTGAACCCTCTCAAAGTTATCCACATCCCTTTTGAAGTGTGGCGCCCAGAACTGGATGCAGTACTCCAACTGTGGCCTGACCAATGTCACATTGAGGGGAAGTATCACCTCCCTGGACCTGTTCATGATGCACCTGCTAATGTATGATAGAGTGCGGTTAGCTTTACTGATTACTTCATCACATTAACAAGTCAGCTATGACTCTGAGATCCCTTTCTGCTGCTGTGCTGCTGAGAAGGTCCTCCCCTAGTCTATAGGTGTGTTGGTGATTCCTTCTTCCTAGATGCAGCACTTTGCACTTGTTTTTGTTGAACTGCATCCTATTCTTTTCTGTCCACTTTTCCAACCTGTCCAGGTCTGCCTCGATTCGATCCTTTCCCACTATGTGTTTACTTTACCCCATAATTTCTTGTCATCCGCAAATTTGGAGAGAGTGCTCTCCACACCCTCATCCAAGCCGCTGATGAAGACATTGAATAGCACAGATCCAAAGACCAAACCTTGGGGGAGCCAACTGCCCACATCATTCCAGGTTGATACCAACCCATCTACCACCACTCTCTTGGTGCGACCCTTAGGCAAATTTTCCTAAGGGTCACACCTGACTGTGTAATCATCTATGTCACAGCTGCTCAGTTTGATTAAAATCCAAGTAGATGACATCTACCTCGACTGCTGCATCTAAGCATTTTGCGATCTGGTCATAAAAAGAAACAAGGTTAGCCAAGCAGGATCTACTTGCTATGAAGCCATGCTGGTTGCCCTTCAGCATTATTTTTCCTGCTGGACTCCCACAAATATGATCCTTGATAATTTTTTCAAAGGTTTTCCCAAGGATGGAAGTGAGACTAGCCAGCCTGTAATTACCCGGATCCTCCTTCGTCCCCTTCTTGAAAATAGGGACCACACTGGCCCTTTTCCAGGCCTCTGGGACCTGACCTGAGCACCATGAGTACTCAAACAGCCATGCTAGTGACTCTGCTATGACACTGGCCAATTCCTTCAGTACCCTTGGATGAGGGTCATTCGGGCCTCCTGACTTAAACACATTCAGCCCCTCCAAGTGTCCCATTACTAAGTCAGTGCTGACCTTTGATGAGCTGGTGTTCCTCCTGTGCCTATTGATAATGCAATTGCGAGATTTATCTTGATCCGTGTTCAGGAATACAGAGACAAAAAACTCATTGAAGAGTTCAGCCTTGTCCCTCCAATCTGTCACCAGTTGCTCTAGCCCGTAGGGGTCCTATGTTACCCTGCACCTTCTT